ATCAATGATCCTAAGTGGAAGGTAGCTATGGTAGAAGAGATGCAAGCTTTGAGTAAAAATAACACATGGGAGTTGGTGTCTCTTAAACCGAGGAAATCATTTTCTTTCACAAAATATTCTAATCTATCAATGATCTCCTCTATCTTAGACATTATATCTGCATCAGATAAACTAGAAGAAGAAATCAAGGTAGGACTTGGTACCTGGTCTGACCCGCTATGGTACTTTGGTTCAAACTTGCATCGCAAAGCTTTGGTACCAATCTTATCAAGTAAATCATCTACGTGATACACAGTAACTTTAAGTTCGTCCACCCAGTTTTTTATAGCAGGGTTAGTGATCTGCTTGTCCTTTGCATCATCAAGCACAACATTAAGTCCCAGTAATGTTAACTTGAGCTTCCTGAGAAGTTTATCATCATGCTTTTGAGCACGGAAAAAGTTGACGAACTCGCGAGAAGCCTAACGGTCAAACAACACTTGAATGGTGGCGGACAGAAATGCTTCTCCAACCAAGGTGGCAGCCATGTTGTTGTTTTTCTTTTGGTTGTAGAGGTAGAAACAGAGATTAGAAAAATGAAGGAAATTGATTGTAGAGTGAAAGAAGAGAAACTGAGATAAAATCACAAGAATAGAGAGAGATAACTCAATCTAAGAAAGAAAAGAGAGAGAGCTTACTAAGGCTGAGAAGAAACCAACAAAAACAATGTCACTAAGAGAGAGAGAGAGAGAGACACCAAGCCGCTACCGATCTGATCTGAGATGGAAATCCACCGATCTGATCTAAGATGAAATCACAAGAATAGAGAGAGAATTGTCTGAAAAAGAGAAGAGAGAGAGAGAGAGAGAGAGTACCGAGAGAGATATGAAAGTGTGAGAGACTGGCGTGTGATAGGTTGAATTAGGAGTAGGGTTTGGCTTTGAATAATGTCTCGTAGCTCGAATTGCATTTGGCTGGAATGGCACTACTTCACAAAATGACGTCGTTTTGGGCTTTTTTTTTTCCTCCGACTCTATTTTGTTTGTGAAACAGACAGAAGAAGAAGAAGAAGAAGAAAGGAGGAGAAAAGAAGGAGAGTGAGAGAAAAGGAGGAGAAAAGAAAAAGAAGAAGGAGAAAATGAGAGGAGGAGGAGGAGGAAGAACAGATCCAAGACAGATCTGTGTGTGTATACACAAAGGAGACGGTGATCTGCTAGTGGGTGGCTCTCTCTCTCTCTCTCTCTCATATATATATATAGATCTGTGTATACACAGATTGATTGTACTATGTGAGGGTTTGTGGGGTTTGGGGTATACTTTGTGAGGATCTATGTATACACAAATTCATTGACCATTTTTGCTTCGTGGGGTTGTGTTGAAACTCAACCAATGGTTCACGGGTTGTTCATTGATTATTTGAAATTTTCTGGGTTTGTTCATTGATTTCTTGAAATTGTGGGTGCTGAAATATTCTGTCGGTGTTAAAGTGTGTTGAAACTCAACCAATGGTTCATGGGTTGTTCATTGATTGCTTGAAATTATGGGTGTTGAAACATACTTCCTCTCTCTTTCTTCTCTCTTCGTTCTTTATCTCTCTTCCTCTCGTCTCTCTATTTCAGACAAAAAATAGAGGGGGAAAAAAAACTGTCCAAAATGACGTCGTTTTGGGTAGTCAAGCCATTCGGGCCAAATGAATTTCGAGCTACGTAGTTTAGCTTTTATATGGAATAAGAAATGATATTATGTGAGAGGGTGTATAGCATAAATATAAATTATTTGTATACTGTTAGGATTGGCTCCAATCCAGAATTATGGGGTTCAATCCGAAACCAATCCGTGGACCATAAATTTTTAAATTTCCAATCTGAAACCAAATTATGGATTTAAAAAACTAATCTAAACCTACCAAATTAGACTGGATCATATTAGATTACGGATTATATGAATTCCATGCTCAGCCCTAGTTTAAAGTATCAATACAATTTTTTCCTCCGTTAGTCAACCGTCAAGTCAATTAATAGAAAATGTTGACGTAAGCCATTAATTTTTATTCAATACCAATTTTGCCCTTACTTCATTCCCTACCATATCATCTCTGCCATCTCTAATCTCTCTTTAATACTCCAAAAACACACAGGCAAAGAAAACAACACGGGAAAATAGACCCATCTACCGAACTACTTGTCCAATGCAAGCCACAATACCAAATGGAAGTGAGCATGTTAGGTAGTGTTCGGTAGAGTTTTAGAATTATTATTTGAGAGTAGAGTTGTATTTTGAGTTTGTGAGATTTAGAATTACGATTTAAAAAGAGAAAATTTATTTGGTTATGAGTTTTGAAAAGAGTTTTGAATTTTTTATGTGACATGAAATTTGGTTATCAAAACTCTATTAAAAATTATATTCAAAACTCATAACTAAACTTTTTTTAAAATTCAATTCGAAAAAATAATTTGTCATTTTGATCTAAAAAAATAATTTGTATATTTAAAAAATATCAAACACAAATATAAATATTTTTTTTTCAAATAACAGGTGATTGGCAAAAAAAAAATTGTATTGCTTCAGGCAATCGGCCAAACGACCGGCTCCGAGGATGTCAAGGCGGATGACTGGGTAGACCAAAAATTCAAAAATTGACTGGTTTACCAAACATGTTTTTAAAATGTGTTTTGAAACTAATTTGGAATCATAATTTCAAAACTCAAACCAAACATAACATTCAAATATAAGGGTGAAAACTTGATTTGAAACTCACACCAAACATATCAGTTTCTTGTGTCACAAAACGTGTAAACCAGAAGTAAAGAACTATAATATTTCATCAAACCAACCAAGAGAAAATTATACTTGTTACACAATGTAATATTAAATTAAGACTGAAAAAAAAAAAAAAAAAAAAAAAAAAAAAAAAAAAAACAACCACTTATAACTCCGATTTAAGTAAAAGATCTAATACTTATTTATGAAGGATTCTTGATTCCATGTGATTGGGTCGGGTTTGGCAAATTAAAACTTGAATATTCATCACCCGATTGAACTCAATTTTTTTTGAAATAACTAAACTCGCATCCATCTGCCTGTTGCATCTAAACTAATCATTTGAGGTGAGATTGAATAGGGTTTGATGAATTGGGTGGGTTGAATTGATGTTTTCCCAACCTTACTCGTAAGAGTAATTCATGAAGAAAAAAAATAAATAACAAAAGAAAATAAATCTTCTTCTTGTAATAAAACACAATTCTCTTATGAGTAAGGCTATCTAATTTTGTGATCGATTTATGTGTTTGTTGATTTTTTGAGACAATTTTTTTTTTAGAAAAAATTGTGAAAAAAACAAAAAATAAATAAAACCATTTGGTAATTGCTAGAAAAATTAGTATTTTTTTTGTTATTGGGAAAGTTTTTAAGTAAGTTGATGTGTTTTTTTAATTGTTTTTATTTCAAAGGTTTGTTTAAAAAATTACTTTTATACCTTTCGGAAAATAAAGAAATACAAATTTTTTAAAAATTCACGTATATATTTTGCAATTACTAAATAAAGACAAATCTTTCTTTTTATAATTGTTTTTATGATTTAGAAATTGATGTGACATATTTCTAAGAAATAAGTTGAAGTAGCAAATACAGTTAATTTGCCACATAATTTGAAAGAATCTTTAAGAAGACCTTTCCATTCTTCATTCATGTCGCTGATTCTTCGGCAGAGATTCCACATCAATTGGAGAAATTCTAAAGAATAATAGTATGAATCAAGATTTATCAACTCATAATTTGTCAAGAATGTATTTGTATGGTGAAAATTAAATTGATGAAATGTGAAATTTATGAGTAAAATAAATTTTAACCATTGATTCTTTTTTCTTTTTTTTTTGAATAAATTTTGAATTTGTAAGTCTGAATTTGTAGTCTTGTTAAAATAATATTATGACAAAACTAAGCGATTAACAATTGACCCTCTTGCTATTGGTCAGAATATATGAAACGTCTAATTTCATTTCTAATTTTTTGAATTATATTTGATTCTTAATTACGGCCTAATAAGGCTAATGTTATATAAACTACACAAATTTTATAATTTTTTTCTTATTTATTAATATGATATTATTATATTATTCAAGTAAATCTTGTTTCAAATTTTAAAATTTTATTATTACACGACATATTAATTATTAATTTATTTTTGTTAAAAAAAAAATATTAGTTAGTATAACACTTTGAAGAGTAATAACATTTACAAATTATTATTATTTTTTTTTATAGACTTTCCTATTCTATGATATCACACCTTTTAGTTGGAACATCGCTTTTGTTTTCTTTATTCTTTTTATTATTTAGTTAATCATGATATTGTGATAATCAATTATACTAAATTTACTTATAATTTGGAGGCGTATTAAAACTAAATGAATAACATTATATTAGTATAATGCATCCCATCGTTCATGCATTACTAATGAACGATTGACTTGTAAAGTGTCATATCATCGGATAAAAAATAAATTTGGCATAAAATTTTATTGTCAGTGAACAATATTAATTTTTAAAAATATGATCATTCTAACTTTACGCTTTAGGTGGTAATGCAATTTTGACCTTAACACCAGCTTAATGGTAGTCCCAAATTACTTGTCCAAAATCCATTATTTTCATAATTTAAGAGGGACATGGAAGAGAGATGGAATGAAGAATATACAGGGAGTAGCATGGCTTTCGTTACTCAAACAAGAACATAGACTAGAAATACATAAAAGATTGTAAAAATGCTTTGACATATTGAGATTTATTTTGAATGTTAACCCCATCATAACTAGGTTTAGCCCAAACAATCTATTGCATTTTATATAAATCATTCTACAATCCATTATGTGTTTCTAACATTGCTCAGAAATTATATTAACAAAAAAAAAAAAAAAAAAAACTTGACACAGCCTAAGTACTGAAAATTTTAACAGTTTCTTCCAATTAATCCGGTGTAACCAACGTCAAATAGGAATCTCAAAGGTCACTGCTCATAAAAATTGAAGGCAAGCTTGAAAATGAAGACAGATCGACACTTTCTTGCAATCTCATTCATCCTTTATTTTTGTTCATGCCACTAGTATATATAAACAATGGAATTCTAAAGGCCTACTCAACCCCCAATACAATCAGAAACTAATGAAAAGAATAGTCCTTTGGCACAGCAACCCTTCGAACCACCAAAGCATCACATCTTAAAATGCTACAATCCTAAAACCAAGTGTATACATCAATCCCCTTCAATCTAATGTACAACTAGAGAATACAACATTCTCTTCGGATTTTATATTTCTCTATGACAGCTCTGGAGGAAGTACATACATGAACATTTCAAGCCATTTATTACTTTCCTTTCAATAAGCAATTTAATCAGAAGCTCAGATGAATCAACTTTGGCTCCATAATATATCAGCATAAGCTTTCTCATCTTTCCGCTTGCTTTGCAACATAATCAATTGCTTCCAACACTTCTAACACTTCCTCTTCTTCATCTGCAATCTCTTCTACTTCTTCCATTAATTCTTCGAATGCAACTGCTTCCATAGATATCTCTTTCTCGCGTTCAGCCAATGCTTCTCTCATAGCTTTTTTTGTTGCTAGTGTGCCACTAGGTCTATATTTCGGGGCAGGCACGACAAATGGCAATATAATATCATCCAAACTCGGACTCTTATGGTTGGGACTACTGTTTGCATCTGATGGTGGAACAATGAAAACAATACCAAGCTGGTAGTTACAGACGTGAAGTCTTGAGCCGAATACAGAATTTGTCTTCACAGCTCCAACTGCCTTTGTCCTGAGTGAATTAGAAATTGGGCGTCCCCAAGCAGCGGCACTGAAGTTGTGGGATCAACAATACACCTATCCAAAGGATGAAGCATCTTTCTTAGACTGGAAGCATCTTCCGGCTACCTGCTTTTACCATACATTCTCTCCTCTATTATCTTTAACTTAAAATCAGCAATTTCCAAAACCATAAATTGAAATAGAAATGACAGATAGGGAGGGAACTGGAGTACATAATGTGGCTTAAATTGTAACTTCACATAATACTAAGACATAGCACCACAAAAAGTAATTGATTTTAAGAGAGAACAATCTTCTCATACTTGTCTATTATATCATAATATTATAAGATTACTCCGATACATCATATGATGTGCTAATCTTTGAGATCATGCTCATTCATATATGCAAACCCAGGTATTACCTTGAGCACAAATTGAAAATCTCCTTTATATTTGATTCAATGTTGACACTTGGAAAATGAAAAAAGAGAAGAGAATAAAAGTAACAGAGAGATGGTGTGAAAGCAGCATCATGGAGAAATTAGGGAGAGGAAGCACCGATTGGAACTTCCAATGCAAGAAGAGGAAGGAACATATATATATATATATACACAGCTAGTACCTTTGGAAATTGTTGAATTAAATAAAATAAGCCTTAAAGACTCCTCAAAAGTTGAGTCACATTCCTAGTCTCCTTCATTGCAGTCACATGAAGAATTTTAAAAGTAAAGACAATTAAAGATTGAAGGTTGATAGAGTTGAGTTGGTACAGGACTGTGGCTTTCTAACTCAATGTATATAGAACTGAGTTGCTATGGGACTGTGGCTTTCTAACTCAATCTATGATGTTGTATGCAAAATATATATATATATATATATTTTTCTAAGTAACTAAAATTCATTAACTAAAAATGGAAGGGAAACCCCAATACAAAAAGGGAAGGATGTTACACCATAATAACCTCCAAAGACTAGAAAGGACAACTCCTATACATATGCCAAAAAGCCTAAGGATTCTTACAAGACAGAATCTACATAGTCAAAAAGAGTGTCTATGGAAGGCAAAGCCCTCCCAAAAGACCAGCAATACGAAATGGACAACAAAAAGCTCTTGATTCTATGCACATGCTCCTCAACACCTTGGAACGCTCTCGAGTTATGCTCCCTCCAAATAAGCCATATCAAGCAAAATTTTGGATGTACAGGCTTTGTCAGATCAATTCAAAAAATTTGGATGTCAACATTTATGCTTCCAAGTGATAAATTTGTAGCACAATAGTCATGGTCATTGGTTAACAAAGAATTGTAATTTTCCTTTTCTTTTGTGGGTTGGGTTCTACGTTCTTGCCACAGCAACTTCTCTCTGGAAGCTAATTTCAAAGCAATGCAAGATCAATTTGTATTAGCGATTTGGAAGGTAATTAACAGGCTATTTGTTGGAAGGCGGAGGATTAACTCTTGATCCAATGTCAAATAAAAGAAAGATGACATTCAGAAATACTTTCTTTAAAACAGTTTTCGCATTTTCCCCAAGTGGCTATGGATTTTGTAAAACGCAGAAGGGTTTCTGGACTGAGAAGTGATTGAATTCATAGGATAGGTTGTTAGAAAATATCATGAGATGGCAATCCAGCAGTCCTCAGAAGTTGGATGCTTCACACATGTGATGAATTTTTCAATTTGAAATGGCTACCTTCCGCATAAGTTCGTAGGGATTGAGCTGAGATCCATTAAAGTTGTTATTTGAATCAAATAATCTCTGTTCCAGAACAGTATGTTAGATTTCCTTCTCATAAGTGAATACAACTGCATTCACCCTAGGTGTACATCTGTGAATAAAACAGTTCAAAATGGTAGGAGAATCCAAAAGAAATAGAAGAATTGACTCAATTTCACAGAATAAACTTAAAATGGCTTTGGATCACTTATTCTTGCATTGTCCTATTGCTTTGGATCTATGGTATCATCTCTTTCGTTTGGTTGATTTCCAATGGGTGGCTCCGGATCTTGTCTAGTAATGATTTCACTGGATTTTTAGGACTTTGGAGGTATGATGAAAGCAAAAGTGATGCATCATTGTGTTGTCGTCACAATTTTTGCGTGATTTGGTTGGAAATGAATGCAAGGATCTTTGAGGACAAATTTGATGATACAGCATCTATGTGGGATAGAGTGTGTCATTTGGCATTGTTTTGGACTTCCATTTCGACTCCTTTTAAGGGAATTTCATTTTATTATTATTATATTTTATTTCTAGAGATTGAAAAGTGATATGTGATGGTTAAACTGTTTCTTAGTTTTGGTGATTGATGTTTTCTCTTCTATTGTAGAGGACATCTTGTCCTCTTTTTGTACTCTTTCTTTTTTAATAAAATTTTCTTTTGTTGCCGATCAAAAAAAAAAAAAAGAAAGGAATCTTGGAAGAGACAGACTTCAGAACAATAAGGAGGGAATGTGTTTACCTTGACATGCACGGGATGATTAACTCTATCGTTGGGATAGGGAATCGCATCATGAGGCATGCCTACATTTCTTAACCTTTGCCATGTTTTCTGGAAAAAAACAACATCAAGCAAATTATGTGTTACCAAAGAAAAAAAAATAAAAAATAGCTGATTAATTATTAAACAAGAAGAAATGAACGAGTCTTCACTAAGATAATAATGGAAAGTCAAAGCTGCAAAAAAACACTGTTGTATCTTCATTTTTATTTTAACTGGAAAAGAAGACAGATTTTATGTTTCACTTGCAAGCATTATTGATTTGATATTTGCTTATTTCCGCAAATCCTTAGACCAATTAAAGTGGCAGTCAGGCACCAATCCCACATGGATTTATAGAGGATTTTATTTTAATTTAATTTTTTACATTCGAAATATATGATTTAACTAGGCTAGACATGAGATATTCCTCATAAATCTCAGAAGGGCTAAGTGGGACTTAGTTGCACACCTATACTTTTATCCCATACCTTAAATGAAATATAAAAATCAGGAATAATTTTTTTTTTTTTAAAAAAAAAAAGAGGAAAAAAACAAACAAACAAAGCAAAATAACACATGGAATCCAGTTAAAAACCATTAAATTATCTTGCAGGTAATCAAAAGGTCAGGATACCTGCGAGAAACACACAAGGTATTTTGAAGCTAAGATTCCACAACTTGCATTTTTCACTCTTTCAATTGTGGGGAAAATGGTTCTAACGGATGGGTTTCTTATCTCTTGACTTGCACTCCAGCAGCCCCACTGTAAAGACCAATATTGAATGAACTATTGAATCAAAAGATTAGAGTATTTCAAATTTGATTCATACACATGAACTGCAAATAGTAAAAGTTACTTACATCTGGATTAGACTCTTCAGACTCAGATAACTTCACTGATGTCTTTCCAAATGCTGCTGAAAATGCAGCTAAAAACTGTGGAGTGACTGACCCAATTGAAGATGAACCTTGACAATAGAACAGATAAGCATACTGCAAGAAATATATTTCAAATTTCTGGAGAAGAGTCTAGTATTATACAAGAAAACACTCACCGAAAACAAAATCAGTTTCCAAATATCCTGGCCATTTGTAACAACTCTTCAGATTTTATATTTCTCTATGACAGCTCTGGAGGAAGTACATACATGAACATTTCAAGCCATTTATTACTTTCCTCTCCACAAGCAATTTAATCAGAAGCTCGGATGAATCAACTTTGGCTCCGTAATATATCAGCATAAGCTTTCTGATCTTCCCACTCCTTTGCGACATAATCAGTTGCGTCCAACACTTCCTCTTCTTCATCTGCGATCTCTTCTTCTTCCATCAGTTCTTCGAATGCAACTGCTTCCATAGATATCTCTCTCGAGCGTTCAGCCAATGCTTCTCTCATAGCCTGTTTTGTTGCTGGTGTGTCACTGGGTCTATATTTCAGGGTAGGCACGACAAATGGCAATATAATATCATCCAAACTCGGACTCTTATGGTTGGGACTACTGTTTGCATCTGATGGTGGAACAATGAAAACAATACCAAGCTCGTAGTTACAGATGTGAAGTCTTGAACCCAATACAGAATTTGTCTTCACAGCTCCAACCGCCTTTGTCCTAAGTGAATTAGAAATTGGGCGTCCCCAAGCAGTGGCACTGAAGTTATGGGACCCACAATACACCCATCCAAAGGATGAAGCATCTTTCTTAGACTGCAAGCATCTTCGGGTGTCACGCCCTAAATCCGGGCATGACCGGCCGTGGCCCACAGGGACTTAGCCCAAGGCACACGTAAGCCTAAACATGAACCCAAAATCATAAAGAATAAATGTGATGATAGCCCAAAAATAAATAAATCAACACTCAATCCAGTGACATGCCACAAGTATAAATGGTAAAACTAGCCATAACCAACTTCCAAAAATATATACTAAATGGCACATAAACCGCCCACAAAATAAAATAATTCTAAATCAAACCCAACCACAATGTATGTACAAAACCCGACAAAGCAACCTAAAACAAATTAAATAAATGCCCTAGAGGTCCATGCAATTGAGTCCCCGCTACGCCATGAGTCCACTCTAAGTCCTTCTAACACCTGGAAATGGTAAACAACTAAGTCAGCTGATAGCTCAGTGAGTAGCAACATGGATAGTAAATACAATTTTGAAAACAGGGTTCAATTCCAAAATAAGATATATATATCACTATAAATCACAAAACCAGAAGATGAGAGCACCTTGGTTGTTACTTGAAAATTGATGGTCTAAATTGAGAAAATAAAAAAAAATTCAAACTGAGTAAATAGTATTGAGTCAATATGTGGTGTGCATTTAGAGGCTCCCAAAGATACAGCATCTTGGCCAATAAGACATTCTTCCTTTCATCATATGTAAAGTTTTAGATAGCTTGCATACCATTCCATACAATGCCTAAATATTAGATAGAGAGAATGCCAATGCAGTCACTCACAAAAGATAAAAGGAAGTATAAATGCACAAGGATTATTCCTATATAAAGAATACTTACCATTTATCAAGTTCAAGATAGCAGCAGAACTTGTATTAAGTGTTGGTTGTAACAGAGGACCAATAACCATTGCTGGGTTTATTGCAACCATGTCAATACCTTTCTCTTTTGCAAACTTCCAGGCAGCATCCTCTGCTAGAGTCTTGGACAGCTGATACCAAAGCTGGTAGCAAATACAGAAAAGGCAACAGGGAGCAATGCAAATTATTAACAACCATCCTCTGCTAGAGTCTTGCAAAACACTCCTTATTTTCGTATGGTTTTTTCTTTTTTAGGCAATATTATTTTTGAAAATTGGAAAATATCTTTTTGGTATTTATTTTTGTCAAACTATTTCCTTATCTTTCAAAACAAATTCAAAAAACAAGTTCGCAAAACTCAACAAACAGAGTCCTTGTAAATGTTTGAATAGTTTACACATTAATTATGCCCATGTTATGCTCCAAATTTGTTTGCACCTGGTCAAAATAATTGTTTGAATAGTTTACACAATGAATTATGTTCCGCTTATGCTCCAAGTTATTGCACAATCGAAAAATCTTCTGATTGAATCTGAAGCTCAGATTTGTTGGGGATTTAAACATCACAAACAATTAAATATATAGTAACTATCACAAAAATATAATAATAGATAAAATCAAAAAAACAAAAAATCAATGAACAAAAAATAATAATGAAAGTAGGGAAAAAAAATTGTCTGTCAGATTTATGAGAGGTACAAGAAGTTGATGTCCTAAAGTCGTATTGTCCACCCTTTGTGCAAGTGTTGACAACCTAATACCACTCCAAGATGCAACCTAGAATCTCGCAAAATGTGTACAATCGATGGTAGAAAGGAGTGTGAAGTCTTTTTCAAATTGCCTAGAAATAAATATGAGAATATAGAGGAAAAGAGAGATGGAGAGAGTACAACAAGCGAAGTTGATGTATGGGGTGGTCCTATATTTATAGGACTCTAGGTACCCTTTCGTAAGAGATACACCCTTTAGTATTTAATGTTGTGAATTAACAGGCGTGACTCCTTAGGAATCAACCATGCATTAAATTTTGAAACTTAACTTTCCAACAAGATCTGTGCTTCTTCAAAACAAGAGAAAATTGGACAAAGAGAATCAAATTATTTGTGTTGAAACTATTCATGGTTCTCTCTGTTTGAAGCTTTTTAGTTGAGCATGAATTTTGAAAAGATGCTAAATTTGTTGAAAGATACAACCCCACTTTTTTTTCCCAAAAAAACAAATTTTTTTCAAAACCAAAAAAAACACATCCAAACAAAATATCACATCCAACCCCATAATCATTTCACTTTTTCTCTCACAAACATCACATCCAACCACAAAAAAACCCAACTATCTTTCCAAACACAAACAAAAATTTCTCCAATAATATCCTACAACTAAAAAAACTTACATAAAAACCCACTTCCCAAACACCCACATTGTCTTTACTTTTAAAATTCTTCATGCGACTGTGATTAAGGAGACTAGGAATGTGACTCAACTTTTGAGGAGTCTTTAAGGCTTATTTTATATGTTCCTTCCTCTTCTTGCATAGGAAGTTCCAATCCATAGCACTGCTTCCTCTCCCTAATTCCTCCATGGTGCTGCTTTCGCACCATCTCTCTGTCACTTTTATTCTCTTCTCTTTTCTCATTTTCCAAGTGTCAACATTGAATCAAATATAGAAGAGATTTTCAACTTGTGCTCAAGGTCATGCTTGGGTTTCATGTATGCATGAATGATCATGATCTGAAAGATTAGCACATCATATGATGTATCAGAGTAATCTTATAATATTATGATATAATAGACAAGAATGAGAAGATTGTTCTCTCCTAAAATCAATTACTTTTTGTGGTGCTATGTCTTAGTGTTATGTGAAGTTACAATTTAAGCCACATTATGTATAGGGCTGCAAATGAACCGAGCTGTTCATGAATAAGCCGAGCTCGGCTCGGCTCGGCTCTCGCATAAGCTCGGCTCGTTTATCTTTATTTAAATTATATAATAAATATATTATTTATATATTAAATAATATATAAAATAATATAAATAATATTAACAAAAGTTATCGAGCCGAGCCGAGCCGAGCCGAGCTGAGCTTATTCATGAACAGCTCGGTTCATTTGCAGCCCTATACATAATGTGGCTTAAATTGTAACTTCACATAACACTAAGACATAGCACCACAAAAAGTAATTGATTTTAGGAGAGAACAATCTTCTCATTCTTGTCTATTATATCATAATATTATAAGATTACTCTGATACATCATATGATGTGCTAATCTTTCAGATCATGATCATTCATGCATACATGAAACCCAAGCATGACCTTGAGCACAAGTTGAAAATCTCTTCTATATTCGATTCAATGTTGACACTTGGAAAATGAGAAAAGGGAAGAGAATAAAAGTGACAGAGAGATGGTGCGTAAGCAGCACCATGGAGGAATTAGGGAGAGGAAGCAGCACTACGGATTGGAACTTCCTATGCAAGAAGAGGAAGGAACATATAAAATAAGCCTTAAAGACTCCTCAAAAGTTGAGTCACATTCCTAGTCTCCTTAATCACAGTCGCATGAAGAATTTTAAAAGTAAAGACAATGTGGGTGTTTGGGAAGTGGGTTTTTATGTAAGTTTTTTTAGTTGTAGGATATTATTGGAGAAATTTTTGTTTGTGTTTGGAAAGATAGTTGGGTTTTTTTGTGGTTGGATGTGATGTTTGTGAGAGAAAAAGTGAAATGATTATGGGGTTGGATGTGATATTTTGTTTGGATGTGTTTTTTTTGGTTTTGCAAAAAATTTGTCTTTTTGTGAAAAAAACAAAAAAAAAAAAAACCCCAAGTCTCAAACTTCCCAAACACCACCAATTAAAGATTGAAGATTGATAGAGTTGAGTTGGTACAGGACTGTGGTTTTCTAACTCAATGTATGATATGTTGTATGCAGAAAATACAAATTTTTTTTTTTTTTTTGGGAGGGGGGCTAAGTAACTAAAATTCATTAACTAAAAATGGAAAGGAAACCCCAATACAAAAAGGGAAGGATGTTACACCATAATAACCTCCAAAGACCATAAAGGACAACTCCTATACATATGCCAAAAAGTCCAAGGATTCTTGCAAGACAGAATCTACATAGTCAAAAAGAGTGTCTATGGAAGGCAAAGCCCTCCCAAAAGACCAGCAATACGAAATGGACAACAAAAAGCTCTTGATCCTCAACACCTTGGAACGCTCTCTGGTTATGCTCCCTCAAAATAAGCCATATCAAGCAAAATTTTGGATGTACAAGCTTTGTCAGATCAATTCAAAAAATTTGGATGTCAACATTTATGCTTTCAGGTGATAGATTTGTAGCACAATAGTCATGGTCATTGGTTAACAAAGAACTGTAATTTTCCTTTTCCTTTTTGGGTTGGGTTCTACCATCTTGCCACAGCAACTTCTCTCTGGAAGCTAATTTCAACGCAGTGCAAGGTTAATTTGTATTAGCGATTTGGAAGGTAATTAACAAGCTATTTGTTGGAAGGTGGAGGATTAACTCTTGATCCAGTGTCAAATACCAGAAAGATGACATTCAGAAATACTTTCTTTAAAACAGAGTTCGCATTTTCCCTAAGTGGCCATGGATCTTGTAAAACGCAGAAGGGTTTCTGGATTGAGAAGTGATTGAATTCATAGGATAGGTTGTTAGAAAATATCATGAGATGATAATCCAGCAGTCCTCAGAAGTTGGATGCTTCACACATGCGATATATGTTTCAATTTGAAATGGCTACCTTTCGCATAAGTTCGTATGGATTGAGCTGAGATCCATTACAATCGTTATTTGAATCAAATAATCTCCGTTCCAGAACAGTATGTTAGATTTCCATCTCATAAGTGAAGAATAACTCAACTTCAGAGAATAAACTTAATATGGCTTTGGATCACTTATTCTTGCATTGTCCTGTGGCTTTGGATCTATGGCATCGTCTCTTTTGTTTGGTTGATGTCCAATGGCTGGCTCCGGATCTTGTTTAGTAATGATTTCACTAGATTTTTGGGACTTTGGAGGTACGATGAAAGCAAAAGTGATATGTCATTGTGTTGTCTACACAATTTTTGGGTGATTTGGTTGGAAATGAATGCAAAAATTTTTGAGGACAAATTTGATGATACAACATCTTTGTGGGATAGAGTATGTCATTTGGCATTGTTTTGGACTTCCATTTCGACTCTGATGGTTAAATTATTTCTTAGTTTTGGTGATTGATGTTTTCTCTTCTATTGTAGAGGACATCTTGTCCTATTTTTGTATTCTTTTCTTTTTTAATAAAATTTCCTTTTGTTGTTGATCAAAAAAAAGAAAAGAAAAAAGAAAGGAATCTTGGAAGAGACAGACTTCAGAACAATAAGGAGGGAATGTGTTTACCTTGACATGCACGGGATGATTAACTCCATTGTTGGGATAAGGAATCGTGTCATGAATCATGCCTACGTTTCTTAACCTTTGCCATGTTTTCTAGAAAAAAACAACATTAAGCAAATTATGTGATACCAGGGAAATAAATAAAAAAAATAAAAAATAAAAAAATAGCTGATTGACTATTAAACAAGATGAAATGAACACTAAGATAATAATGGAAAGTCAAAGCTACAAAAAAACACTGTTGCATCTTCATTTTTATTTTAACTAGAAAAGAAGACAGATTTTATGTTTCACTTGCAAGCACTATTGATTTGATATTTGCTTATTTCCGCAAATCCTTAGACCAATTGAAGTGGCAGTCAATCACCAATCCCACATGGATTTAAAGTGGCATTTTATTTTATTTTTATTTTTTTACATTCGAAATGTATGAATTAACCAGGCTAGAGATGAGATATTCCTCATAAATCTCAGTAGGGCTGTGTGGGACTTAGTTGCACACCTATACTTTTGTCCCATGCCTAGTGAAATATAAAAATCAGGAATAATTTATTTAAAAAAAAAAAAAAAAAGAGGAAAAAAACAAACAAACAAAGCAAATAACACATGGAATCCAGTTAAAAATCATTAAATTATCTTGCAGGTAATCAAAAGGTCAGGATACCTGCGAGAAACACGCAAGGTATTTTGAAGCTAAGATTCCACAACTTGCATTTTTCACTCTTTCAATTGTGGGAAAAATGATTCTAATGGATGGGTTTCTTATCTCTTGACTTGCACTCCAGCAGCCCCACTGTAAGCAACTAACAATGAATGAACTACTGATTCCAAAGATTAAAGTATTTCAGATTTTAATTCATGCTACACGAATAGCAAATAGTAAAAGTTTCTTACATCTGGATCAGACTCCTCCGACTCAGAGAACTGCACTGATGTCTTTCCAGATGCTGTTGAAAATGCAGCTAAAAACTGTGTAGTGACTGACCCAATTGAGGATGAATCTTGACAATAGAACAGATAAGTAAACTGAGATAAATATATTTCAAATTTCTGGAGAAGAGTCTAGTATTATACAAGAAAACACTCAATGAAAACAAAATCAGTTTCCAAATATTCTGGCCATTTGTGATGACTTAAAACCTGATACAAACAAAAGAAACAAAAAGAAGATAAATTCTGGCCATTTGTAATGAATTAAAACCTGATACAAACAAAAAAAACAAGAAGATAAATGTCAAAAGGATAAGATGACTGTTTCGAGGATAAGAACAAATACATATTTAATCAGATTGAATTTTTTGGAGAACTGACAGCTTCAACAAGATTCAGATTGAACTTTTCTAATCTTTGATCCATAATCCCAATATTTAGCACTTTCATTTTTTCGTTTTATTAAATATACAACTTCCAAGTAGTCACCAATTTAAGGTGCTTTTGCTTGCTCAAGTAATTTCATAGCACATTTTCACATTACTTACCATGAAGAGACATGTAAAAATCTAATGGAAACTTTAATGTTAAAAATAAGAGAAATCTTAATGTTGTGAAGCGAAGACTCCTATCGCTTGGGTACTAAAGTAATGTGAAATATATAAGCGTGAGGGCACCCCACCTCAATAGCTAGCTTTTGGGGTTGAGTTTTACCTACGACCGTGTAACAAATACATTTTTGCTAAACAGGAAAAAAAGCATAAATAAATAAATAAATACGAGAAGTTTTTTGTGCCAGCAATGCTAGGTATCATGAAAGCTTTGTGACCCTTGGATTACACTTAGAATAAAGGACCACACACTAATCAAGATAATCTAAAGATCATAAATTTTTCATGATCATTTTCATGACAAAATTTTCATGATCCCTAACTTTTCCCTTTTTGTGCATAGATAGAACCTAGACTCAAAATCTTTTGTACCATGTTTTACAAACTAATCCATATTTTATTAACAACTTAAGAAACATAAAATGAGTCATGCATTCATAAACATGTAAATATATGCAAATTCAAATCTTCCAACAACAAAGTGATGAATTAACACTTGACTGACACATAAAAAATGCCCATGCATGCAAAATAGGTTTCTCATTAGAACCGTAAGAAACTGTGTACAAGAGATGCGGAAGCATGGAAGGCCATGGTCCCCTTGGATCTAAATGTTCCAACTTCTCCCAGTTGCATTTGAGGAAACCTCCAAAAATTACATAGGTTGCCCCAAAACAATACAACATATGATTTAGTTTTCCAATGCAGCCCTCCCAATCACAAATCACAACACAGTTGAATGTTCCTACATACTAAAGGAAAAACTATAATCTCACAAACTTCATCACTATTACCTCTTGAAGTCGCCAGAGGCCTATGGACCTCTGAATCGATGCAACTAATGAACATATTGCAGAAACATGTTCAGATTGCACTACTTTTGATATGTCTGAAAAGGCAGGTCCCTGCGCAAGGTAACACCACCAAAACTTGGCATAAACATACTATCATAGTAAATAAGCTGCAATAGGAAAAGATCCAGTATATGACTTAAACATCACCCGTGACACATACAATATCATTTGTACTATGCTGGTGCTTCCTTCTAAAGCAGTCACAAGTATTTCTTTTGAATAAACATATCCAGAAAACCTAAATAAGCCACTATCTAATAAAGGAACAACCCACTTTGCAACATTTCTTGGTAGAAACCCAAGTTGAACGCTATCTAGTGCAAGGAGTGAAACAAACAATTAAAATGTAGTAGTGACAACACAATAGTCCATAGCTTAACACACACATACGAAGAAAAAGATCAACTTCCAATAAATGCAAATTTAAAGCATCACACTAGCAAGAAATGCAACGTGGAAGCACCTTGTAGTGTCACAAATGAGGACTTATTTTCAGGAACCACTTTTGGGATTGAAGGGAAAACCTCAGTCAGGGCAAGAGAAGCAAATGGCAAGCACTTAACGGATTTGGAATAGAAAATGAATTCATGTTTACATATTTAACACTACTTTAACCATGCTAGTGTTCTACTTAATATGTCTTGTGCTCTTGACAACATTACTTCAGAAATATGAGGGTTCCTATAAAAATCCACTTCCCCCCAAAACAAATAGCCTGATACTGATTTAGAGCTCATACTCTACACTATTAAAGCCCAATTTAAGAGAGAGAGAGAGAGAGAGAGAGGTAGGAGCATCTTTTCTCAGATTTTAAATTTTTATCTAGATGCAACAATTAATTTGATTACCATTTACCACATGGCCATTTGGAATGAAGATGTGTAGCTAAATCATGGACCGGCATAATTTGAAAGGTTATCTTCTCTTAAATTTGTTTTCTATTCTCCACTGGAAATGGAGCTGCATCGGAAACTATGACGGAATGATCGTTGTGTTGCGATGTGAATACCCAGTGGCAGTTTAGATAATAAATAAATAAAGAGAAAAAGAAAAGGTAGAAGAGAAAGAGGTAAACGTAGGAGAAGATATCCAAGAGGGAAAGAAAATAGTAAAAATTTTGTATCAATGTAAAATTTAAAAAATAATTACAAATAAATAGTAAAGTTTATAATTATTAATAATTATAACTAATTTTTTTTTTTATAATAAATAAGTAATTACTTTCTCAAATTACCCTAATTAGTAATTTTCTCAAAAAAATACTTTTGACATTGAGGGATGATATTGCCCTTTCACAATTAATGCATTAATTAAGTCCTGGCCCTTATGTATTTTGTTAAATAACTAATTCAATACTGAGGTAACAAGATTTTAATAGATTAAAAAGTGAATTGACTCCAGGTCACAGAGATTGGATTGACCTTCTTCTAAGCTATAAGCCGAACTCTGTGGAAATTGTCACAGAACTTGAGAAGTGGCAATCCAAAAAAGAAAGCATTACCTCTGATTTATGCTATCTAACTTTATTTCCTTTCTGTCACATATTCAAAACTATTTTAATTCACAAGCATGTAATGTTAAAGCATCTTGAGTGCAAGCGATAAGAAATTGATGAATGTGTTGACTCTATAAGACTAGAAAACTAACGCACAAAGTGCCAGTAAAACTAGAAAGAATAATAACACAAATTCCTGTATTTGTAATATGGTCGTCCATATGGAAAGGCAAAATATTAAATGAAAAAGAAGTACATTCTTTCTTAGAAAAGGAACCAACAAGTACAGATTTTCCTGAAAAAGGGGCATTACATAACACAAATTTTTAGCAGATTATGACAAGAACATAACTGAGTCACATAAAAACATGTTTCTAATGTAGAACATTGACATTCAAATATGTTCAACAATCCAATAGCCGGAACGAAAAAAAGAAGAAGAAGAAGAAGAAGAATCTCCACATAATATGTTTTACTCCAAGACTCAAAAATTGGATTGGTCTTATTCTAAGTTAAAAAGCAGAACTTTATGATAGAGCTTTCCCTCAATCTTCTCCAAATTGCATCATCAGAACTGTTTTAATTCAAAATCATGGAATGTCAAAAACACTTCTGAGTGCTTCACTCCCAATTTTAGCAATAAAAGAACTCTATAAGACCAGCAAACTAATGTAAAAAGTTACCTGTAAAAGTTGAAAGTTGAAGCTGAGAGGGTTACACATTTACTTCAACATCATGGTAAAAGATCATCAACATCTTACACATTCCCGAATGATCTCTGGTCGCCACATCCTGGACATTTTTGGACATCCAAGACTGATAGTTAATTAAAAGCCATGCAAGAAGACCAAACCATGTATTCATTGTCATTGACTAGAAAGAAAACGAATGAGAGTTGGAAAACATGATGTACAATGACCTTAAAATAGTATCCAACAACTTAGGAAAATTAATTTCTAAATTAGTGAAATATGAAGTAATAAAAAAACTAATTTATAAATAAAATATAAAAAACTTATGGAAAGGATAAAACTAAAAAATGTAAGAAATCCAGCACTGATATAACTCAGCAGAACACAAGCTTGGTCGAATGCACAAACACAGCATCAAGCAAAATGCACTCAATAGCAAATTTATGCAAACTTGTAGTACTTTTCATAGTTGCACGAAGCGGAAGTGGGAGCGGGGACGGGGCCGGGGGAACGTGGCCACTTAGAGAAGTCGTAGATTAGGAGCGCTTATGTATTACTTTTATTAATTATATTTTATTGATTATAATAAATAATAAATAATAAATTATGTTAAAATAAATATAAAAAAATAAAAATTAGATGCTTTATTTTATAAATTTTTAAAGATTTTTTAAATTATATTATTTAAATAGATTTCTTTTAAATAATTAGATGATTTATTTTATTTATTATATGTTAAATAGATTTCTTTTATTTTAGATGTTTTATCTTAATATATATATAACTTATATTATATAGATCGTGAGAAGGCCAGAGAGAGAGAGAGAGTGCGCATGTGAGAAAGAGAAGGCAAAGACGAAGGCGATCGTGAGCAGATCGAAGGTGAGAGCGAAGGTCGACGTCAATGTCAAAGGCGAAGGCGAAGGCTAGGGTTAGAGCGAAGGTCGACGTCGAAGGCTAGGGCTAGGGCTAGGGCTAGGGCTAGTTGGTTATGAATTTTGAAAATAATTTTTAAATTAAGTTTTGAGTTATGTGTTTGGTTACAATTTGAGTGTAGAGTTGTGTTTTAAGTTTAAAATTAAAAAAATTAAAATATTCACAAAATAAAATAAAATATTTAAATAAAAAATATATATTTAAAATAAAAAATATATATTTTTTAAAATACTTTTAAAAAATAAATCCAAAAAAATTCAAAATATTATTATTTGTGTATCATTACTCAAAACCAACCTTACGATCAATGTAGCCATACAAAAACACAAAGAAAATAGAACTATTGTAAAATGAATGTGGAAGTACGTACAGTGTATAAAGCTGATAATTTAACATAGGTAGAGAATCCATTGCTGGACGAAGAGTGAGTTGCTCAAAGATCACTTCACCATCCATGTGTACAACAGGGACACAAGCAATCTTATGCCAGTCCTGTCCTTTCCCCTTGAGGTAATGAGGTTTTAGCATTGGACAGCCAAAGAATTCCAGCATAAAGAGAGAGGTGGGAAGCCCCTCTTCGACCAAGGACTGGAGCTTAGGGCAATTCAGAATCTTCATGTATTTGAGAGAGCCAAGGAGTTGAAGGCCCCTGTTGTTCAACGATTTCAGATTTGGTAGATGTTCAATGTCGAGTGACATAAGAGTCGAGGGCAACAACCCCTCCTCCGGAAAGGACTCCACCCGATTTTCTGGAAAGGACTGCCCCCAATAGTCACCTGCTAATCTGAAGTGTCTAAGAGAAGGGAGCCTTTGCAAATCCCATTCTCTTCGGCCAGCTGTGAGTTTGCTGCAATTTTGGATTTCAAGTGAATGTAAGCTGGAGGGAAGCCCACCTTCCGGAAAAGACTCAATTTCTGGACAACCATCTAATTCTAGTGATTGAAGAGATGGGAAGAGGGTATGCATTCCTTCAGGCAGCGACTTGAGCTTCTCACATTGCAAGATCCTAAAGTGAGTCAGATTGCGTCCGGGTAGTCCTCCTCGGGGAAAAGAAATCAGATTAGAGAACCCACCAAACAAAAGTGACTCGAGAGATGTCAAATTTTGGAGCCCAAGCATGTTTAGATCTGTAATACTCTCGAAATTTCTACAACTCTCGATTTCTAGAGATCGAAGCTTTGGAAAGAATCCAAGCAACATGGGTTTGAGAGCATCACAGCGATACAAGTACAAAGTTTCAAGGGATCTGTAGCAGTTCTCCATATCCTCGGATCTGGGGAACACTAGAACTTCACAATACCTGATTGAAAGGCTTGTAAGCCTGGGCGGCAACCCTGTATCTGGGAATGACAATAGGCTTGGACAATTAAATAGCGTGAACTCCTTCAGATTTGTTAAAGTGCACAGCTCGGGTGTCAATTCCTTTAAATTAGGCATACTTGAAATCTCCAATTTTGTAAGGGAAGACAAACCTCGACACCCCAATTCTACCCCATCACATCCTTTCAATACTAATTCACTTGTAAGTCTTGAGCATTCCTGAATCTCAAGGCTCACACAAGATGGAATGTGTTTGGGTAAGCCTCCAATCAGCTTTGGACAATTGATTACCTGAAGCACTTTAAGCTTAGAGAACTCTGCAGATTCTAATATATACCAGTCCACCCACTCCAACATTGCTTCAAATCTAAGAGTCTCTAGAGATTGAAATGGTTTGCTTAAAGAACTGTCTCCATAGAATTCATGGCCTACCTTTGTTATTCTTTGCATCCTTGAAATTTCAAGGTCTTTCAAAGAGGGCAACTGACCAAATGGTGGCAAGGAAAAGCAATACTCACAATTGTCAAGAGAAATGCACTACATTACAAAATGATTTATTTCCCAACCAATCTGGAAATCTTGTGCCACCAAAGTTATTAATCTTACGGCATTTCAAGTTTGAATGCGGTTGTAGCTTGTCGAGAACATCTCTTTCATTCTGTGAATCATTGGTAGTACCACTCCATTTGAGTACCAATGTTTTAAGGTACATTTTCTCCTCCAATTTTGCCTCCATTGCACCCATGCCATTAGTTACATTTTGCAAACCTGAAATGAAGAGCGGCCCTTGAAGATGACAAAACTCCTTCAACTCTTCAATACCTAACCCCTTGGACTTGCCCACCACAAAGGCAGTTAAAACTTGGAGGCCTTTTAATTGACTCATTTGCTTTGGCATCTCCTGTAAATTAGTCCCAGTAATATCAAGATGGCGCAACTGAATTAGGTTTCGAAGATTTACCGGCAAGGTAGTTAGCTTATCACAATTATACAGCAGTAATGTTTCTAAGTTATACATGGTACAAACTGATTCAGGCAATTGTTTGATTTCCGTGTAAGAAAGATCCAAATACCTTAGATGTAGTAAATTGCCAATTGAAGGAGGCAATTCTATAATATTATACCATTGCAAAGACAACATCCGTAAGCATGTTAGTTTTGGCAAAATATCATCCAAAACCTTTTTGCTCAACCATGAATCAGAATAGACAGCAGGTTCTAGTGTTAGAAAAGTCCTCAAAAACTTAGCCTCATTAATTAGCTTGTACTTTTCAAAGCCATCAAATTTGCCTCTAACACATGAGAAATGATGTACCCTTTCAGAAATATGATGTGTGTTGTCGTCCTCTAACATATAATAACAGAAATCTCCAGACACAGCTTGAGCTAAATCATTAACAAGATCATGCATGACAAAACAATATTTCTTGGCGTTTGATCGTTGAAAAAATGACCTTGATTGCAATTCATAGAAGCACTCATAACCTACCTCTTCCCTTGTTTTATTACTTCTGGGTTGCTCAACAAAACCTTCAGCCATCCACATTAGGACTAATCTCTCCATTTCAAATTCATAATCTTTAGGAAATATAGAACAATAAGCAAAGCGTCTCTTTAAATGCGAAGGGAGGTAATGATAGCTCAATTTTAAGGCTGGAAGAATATTGCTCTTCTCCTTTGGCAAATCCCATATTCCACTTTTCAATATATTATTCCAATCCTCAACATCCCGTTTAGAGCGCAAAAGACCAGATAATGTTTTTGCTGCTAGAGGCAAACCTTTACACTTTTTCACAATCTGTTTGCCAATCCTTTCAAGCTTTGGATGTGCACCACAATCTCCCTTCTCAAAAGCATGTTTGGCAAACAATTTCCAGCAATCTTCATCCGATAATTGCTGCAAACGATGAATAGGAACTGTTTGCATAATAGATGAAACGCTCTCATTGCGCGTTGTAACAATAACCCTGCTCCCATGTTCTCCATATCCAAAAGGACTCCTCAAGCTATCCCAGTTATCATAGTTCTCATTCCAAACATCATCTAGAACGATAAGAAATTTCTTCCCACTCAAGCATTCCTTGAGCTTGACTTGAAGCTGATTAAGGTCCTTTGTACTAAGGTCCATTTTATCAGAACCCTGCGGAATGACTGCCTCAAGAATTGTTCTTGTAACCCTTACAACATCGAATTCATCAGAGACACAAACCCATGCTTTCATATCAAAGTGATCAGCCACTCTGCCATCATTGTATAAAAATTGAGCAAGGGTGGTCTTGCCAACCCCACCCATCCCCACTATCGCAATCACATCTATCTTCTGATTACCACCACTTGCCTCATCTGAGAGCAGCAACTTAATTACATCCTCCTTGTCATTATCTCTTCCACAAACACCAGATTCATCAACCAAAGAAGTAGTTGGCAATCTGTGATACAATTTTTGCCCAGCAACTGCTCTCAAACCGAGGACATCTTTTTCTTTGGCAAAACATTCTAATCTACCAATGATCTTCTCTATCTTGGACACTATATCTGCATCAAATGAACTAGAAGAAGAAATCAAGGTGGGACTTCGCACCTGGTCTGACCCGCTATGGTACTTGGCTTCAGACTTGCATCGCAAAGCTTCGGTAGCAATCTCATCTAGTAAATCATCTGCATGATACACAGCAACTTTAAGTTCATCCACCCAGTCTTTCACAGCAGGGTTAGTGATCTGCTTGTCCTCTGCATCATCGAGCAGAACATTAAGTCCTCGCAATGTTGACTTGAGCTTCCAGAGGAGTTCATCATCAAGCTTTTGAGCGCGGAAAAAGTTGACGAACTCGGGAGAAGCCAAACGGTCAAACAGCACTTGAAGGGTGGCGGACAGAAATGCTCCTCCAACCAAGGCGGCAGCCATGTTGTTTTTTCTTTTAGTTGCAGAGGTAGAAACAGAGAATAGGAAAATGAAGGAAATAGATTGTAGAGTGAAAAGAGGAGAAGCCAAGATTGATTTGCTCTGGGAAAGAAAAAATTATTTGATGAGATCACATCACTAGTTGGACCAAGACTTTGCCACAGCCCCTTCTAGTCCCCCTGGGTCCACCGTTGCAAGCGGTTGCTGTGTGTCGTTTCTGAGTTCGGATCCTCTCCTTGAGGAGGGTCCTTGAGTTCATGCGGAAGCCAAGATTGATTTGCTCTGGGAAAGAAAAAATTATTTGATGAGATCACATCACTAGTTGGACCAAGACTTTGCCACAGCCCCTTCTAGTCCCCCTGGGTCCACCGTTGCAAGCGGTTGCTGTGTGTCGTTTCTACCCACCAAATAGAAGCTACAATTCAATAAAAAAAAATTCTTTTTAAAAAAATTTAAGATAAATTACGAATATATCCTTTAAAATTTACTTAAAATATGAATTATTTTATATGATTTTGAAAATTGCATCTGGCCTCTTGAAACGCAGCTATAAATCATTAACATTCCTTGTGGTGAGAACTGAAAACATTTTTGGAAGGAGGGGCCATCTTTGCAATTAGCAGAGAATAAACCAAACAGTACCTACGATAATACATATTTTCCAGACTCTTCCACTTTCCCCTCTCGTCCACCTGGGTCCACCGTTGCAACTTGCAAGTAATTGCCGTGAATTTATCTCATTTCTACCCACCGAAATAAAGCTATCAAGATGATCTGAGAAGAAAATTACCATTCAATATTTTTTTTTTAAAAAAAAATAATCTTGAATAAATTATTAACACATTATTTGAGATTTTACTTAAAATATAAGTTATTTTATATAGTTTTAAAAATTATATCTCACTCCTTGAAATTTCTAATTTCAGAACAACGGATCATTTTATTAATAAATCAAGTTAATTAATAATTTTAATGATGTCAAAAATTTGTTTTAATTAAAAATTCAAGTAATTTTATTATGCCATAAAATAGCAGTTAGAAAATTTATTTTTTTTGTTTATCTAATTAAATAAAAAATTTTGATAAAAAGGTGTTTATAATTTTTTAAAGGATAAAGGTAATTCGTATTTTAAATAAATCTCATGAAATTCATTTGTAATTTACCCTAAAATTTAAAATAAGATGAGTATTTTAGGTCATGTTTAAATCTTAGAGTGAAAGAAGAGAAGCCAAGCTTGATTTGCTCCAGGAAAGAAAAAAAATTATTTTATGAGATCACATTACCAGTTGCAACCTTTCTTTTTCTTTGAAATGTCACAAGTAGTCAGTGGGGGACGCAAGAAATAGGAGGAGGGGGAGGGGGATGGAGAGGGGAGGTGGCAAATAAATTTTATATTTAAAATTGACCATTAAATTAAAATTATTTTATTTATTGCAAAAATATTATATATAAATTATAATAAAAGATACATTATTATAATTATAAACTTTTTAAAAAACATTATTAAATTTGCAAATAAATTTCTCAGTCAATATTAGAATATGTACAAAACAAAAACAAAAAAGTAAATATTTTATGGATACTTTTTTCCATATTATAGAATAAGTAGTAGTGCTATACAAATAGAAAAATTATATAGTAGTAGTACTATACAAACAGAACAAATAGTGTTATATGAACATAATTTTTGTCATTGTTACATTATTTTGAAATTACATACTACATAAAAATTGTGGTGATGTATAACTAAATTTACAACAGTAATGCTAGGGATCATAAAAAATATATCATGAATATTATCATGAAAGATTCTCAACCTTTGGATTATCCATACAACAAAACACAACACACTAATCAAGACTAATCAAGGGATGAAAAATCTTCATGATGTATTTCAGGATATATTTTTCATGATTCCTAACATTACTCAATTTACAAATAAAAACAATCACCACGAGTGATAATCAAACACAACTACAAATCATTAACCAAACATTTTTAATTTAATTAATTGTGGTGAGAACTTAAAGTATTTTTTAAAGGAGGGGCCATCTTTGCAATTAGCAAAGAAGAAACCAAACACTACCTATAATAATGCAAATTTTCCAAAGCCTTTTGATATATGTTGTAAAACAAGTATAACGCAGCGGGTAAAAAATATCAGATTATACCTTAGTGACAGATCCTGAAGCGAAGAATCTTGTAAGTAAATCACGTGCTTCAAAAATGCGAACAACAAACCCAACAGTGGAGTGATACCACAATATAGGCCTCGTTTGTTTTCAGAGGTAGAATGGAGGGGATTCATAGTGAGGGGATTAATAGTAAGGGGATTGTTAGTCAGGGGATTGATAGTGAGGAGATTAAATAAAATTGTGTTTGTTTTGATAATAATTGTTAGTGTAAGAATTGTTTAATTATTTTTATATAAAATAATAAAACAAATAAAAAAATTAAACATTAATATTTATAAAAAAATTCTCAATATAAAAAAAATAAAAAAACTTCTAATCCCCTCACTATTTTTCTAATACCATCTCCACCTCCTTCATCTCAATTTCCTCCCCCATCCTAATTCCCTCCCAAACTTTACAAACAAACACACACGAAATAACACCTCCACCATCCTAATCCCCTCCCATCTACTTAACCCAAACACACACGAAATAACACCTCCACCATCCTAATCCCCTCCCATCTACTTAACCCCAAAACAAACGGGCCTTATGAGTATCACCCACACAAGTCATAGTGCAAAAGCTAGATCGTTCTCATATGGGAGAGAATTAGAGAGAGAGTCAGGAAAAATGTTATGGGTAAAAACCACATAACGTACATTATATTCTTCCTATCATATCAGATGTATATAATCAAATATATAACAATCAATATCTATCTATTCATCTATCCATATCTCTTGATAAGATATGGTAGATATAGATATTGATTGTGGGTTATCCAAATAATTCAAATTCAAATTCAAACTTAAATGGATAATTTAATTGGTCATGAGTCATGCCACATGAATGCCTAAATTCAAATCCACTACCCGGCTCAATTTCTAACCTATGTATTTTATTATACGCTCTAACATGTGAAGAAAATGAGAAAAAGCCCTATACGCCACAAACCCACAAGGAAGCTATCATTCAATATACTCTCTCTATTTCAAAATTATGGTTTTTTTTAGAAAATTTTAATTTTTTTTTATAGTACAACTATTATATCTTAAAAAAATTAATTTTACCCTTTATTAGTATATTTTTTGGAGAATATCAATGTCATAATTGTACATTTTATATTGTTTATGAATTTAAAAGAAGGACAAAATAAGAAATTTATATTTTTTTGTACTTGATTTTTGAAGATGGATTAATATTTTGGGATAATGAAAAATGAAATAAAAAACTAATATTTTGAGACGGGGGAGTATATAAATATATATTTTTAAAAATTTAAGATAAATTACGAATACACCTTTTGAGATTTACTTAAAATATGAATTGCTTTATATGGCTCTGGAAATTACATCTGGCCCCTTGAAGCTTCTAATTTTATAACAAATGACCATTTTTATTAATAATCATCAAGTCAATTAATAGTTTCAATGATGTCAGAAATTTACTTTAATTAAAAATTCAAATAATTTAATTATTGTATAAAACAACAATTAGAAATTTTATTTTTTTGTTTATTTTGTTAAATAAAAAATTCCGATAAGGAGGTGTTTGTAATTTTCTAAATTATAGAGGCAATTCGTATTTTAAACAAATCTTATAAAAATTATTTATAATTTACCCTAAAATTTAAAGTAAGATAGTATTTTAGGTCGAGTTTAAATTTTAGAGTGAAAGAAATGAGGTGTCAATAGCAGGAAAAATGAAAAATATTGTTTGACGAGATCACATCACCAGTTGCATCGAGGCTTTACCTGCAACTTTTTTTTCATTTTTTGAACTGAGCTTTACCTGCAACTTGCAACCTTTCTTTTTCTTTGAAATGTCACAAGTAGCCAGTGACGGCAATTAAATTTTATATTTAAAATTCACCACTAAATTAAAATTATTTTATTCATAGAAAAAATATTATGTAAATTATAATAAAAGATACATTATTATAATTATAAAATTTTAAAAAAACATCATTAAATTTGCAAATAAATTTATCAGTCAGTATTAGAATATAAACAAAACAAAAACAAAATAAGAAAGCAAATAGTATTATATGGATGCTTTTTTTCATATTATAGAACAAGTAGTAGTGCTATACAAAAAGAAAAATTATATAGTAATAATGCTATACAAACGGAACAAGTAGTGTTATATGAGCATAATTTTTGTCATTCTCATATTATTTTGAAATTAAACTCTATATAAAAATTGTGGTGATATATAACTGAATTTATAAATAAAAACAACCACTACAAGTGATAATCAAACACAACTATAAAGCATTAACCAAACATTCTTAATTTAATTAATTGTGGTGAGAACTGAAAGTATTTTTGAAATGAGGGGCCATCTTTGCAATTAGCAAAGAAGAAACCAAACACTACGTACAATAATACAAATTTTTCTGACTCTGCCACAGCCCTTCTCTAGTCTCCCTGGGTCCACCGTTGCAAGTAGTTGTTGTGAATTTGTCTCGTTTCTACCCACCGAAATAAAGCTATCAAGAGGATCTGGCAAGAAAACTATCATTCAATATATTTTTTTTCTTTTTAAAAAATTTTAAAATAAATTACTAACACATCTTTTGAGATTTACATAAAATATGAATTACTTGATATAGTTCTAAAAATTGCATCTCGCCTTTAAAATTTCTAATTTCATAATAAATAGTCCATTTTTACTAATAAATTATCAAGTCAATTAATAGTTTTAATGATGTCAAAAACAAAATTTTAATTAAAAATTTAAGTAATTTTATAATTGTATAAAAATGCAGTTATAAATTTTATTTTTTTTGTTTATTTTGTTAAATAAAAAATTATAATAAGGAGGTATTTATAATTATTCTAAAATTTAAAACAAGATTCAATGTGTTTGGTTTCAGTTTTTTGAAAACTGAGTTTTTATTTTTCGTGTTTTTTTGTTTTTAGTGAATATTTTTAAAATTTTAAGTAATTTTTTTACTTTTTAGATGCACTTTACTTAGATGTATCTAAATAGTAAAATATTTGTGAAA